GTGTATCTGACCAGCATTCATGACGGTGGGGCGATAACCTCAATCTACCCATGTCTGTGTGGCAGGACATTTTCTTTGCTTACGGCTCCTTACGATATAGCAGGATGTAACAAATCAGTGATATTGATGTTACTTTTCCTAGTTAACCTCGTCTACAACTCATGTCTGTAACCTTGCACTGGTTTTTACTTCCTACCGAGAAATCATATTACAAGCTTGTCTGGACTACCATACTAAAAAAAGAAGAGCTCATTCATAACTTCTTGAGCCTCAGAGTTAAAAATAAAAAGAATAAATAAAACCAAAAAATTATATCACTGATCCTCTTTATTATATTTTGTAAATCAACTTTATTACTAACAACTTTGTTCTTCTGAATTTCCTCGATTCTTTCGACTAACTTCTCATTAGTTATCTCACTACTGAAATGTCTTCATTAACCTACATAAGCGCAGGTGTAGAGTGTTCTGATATTAAAAATGTTTGGGTAAACATACATTTGTTTTATCCATAAACGTATGTGCGAAGCCGTTGTTCGGCTTTGAACAGGAATATTTTCTGTTCTGCTCCTCGTCCCGTTTTCTTTATTCCTTTTTTCAGAACCTTATTCCAATACACATATATTAGTCTGGATATTTGCAGTAGACTTGGTTACCCTACCCAAGAACATGTGAAATCATTAGCTGATGAATATCAACCAGACTTTTGTACATTTACCGCATCAATTCTTGTTATATGAAAACCTGTCTCCACCATGAATCATTTCTCAGCCCATATGATGATTGTCGTAACGCAACCTTCGTAACTTGCGCCAATTACTCGCCTTGTACATTCCATCTTTAAGAAAACAATGAATCTTGTGAAATGTTTCAGTAACTGCATGTCGTTTTAAAAGAAATATGTTGCTAATCTTAACATTTTGATCTTGCCTGTAAATTGGCATGTCTCTTGTAACATGTTTGTTATTTGAGAATAAATTACTATTATTATCATTACTATCTGTGGTGATATCTGAAGAAAGGTCTGCGAAAGGAGTAACAGGAAGGCAGGAAGGAAAAGCTGCCGAACGAGAGCAGGGAAAGCCATGGTCGAAGCTGAATACATAGAGGTAAGCAAGCAAATGAGAAGGAACACTAGAAAGAATAGACTTGAGGACATATATACGGAAGAGTTACCATTGGTAGCAGAAAAATCTCCTATAGAAAGAAATGTGCTACAGTCATACAATTCAACGAAGGAGCTACTCGGGCAATATACTAAACTAGAACGAACGGTTTGGAACAATTTAAGCGGCGTTTGCTTCATTGAGGGGTAACGGGCATACGTAAGTAAACGGTTCGGCCTTCTACACATTTTTGCCTCACACTTCCCTGTTCACTTTGTCTGATTTCAGATTTTTTCTTGACATGTATTTGTGTCAGTGCCATTGAGAATCATCCGTTTGATGACTGGATAGTGTTGAACAAAATTCACGTCTTCTAAGTGGTGGCAATCAGGAAACGCTTAGAGTATCTAGGTTCCAGTTAGGTATACTTCAAGCTAGTCTAAACGATAGGAGATACAAGTCTGAAGATTGATCAAAATGGCATGTCAGATATCTTTCACGGTGTGGAGGATAGGGAGAGCTCTCAGAGATTACTCCAGGTTGAGGATGATATCGGGTTGATAACAGGTTTGTAAATTATGCTGATACCTTTGGAAAGTTCGTATTCCAGTAAGTTTAACCGACTCACAAGAATAATAAACTTGACTGCCAAATGTAGTATTTAAATCTCCCACAAAAACATGTTACTTATAGGTCGTATTAGAAAACGAAGCACTGAAAAAGAACTAAAACAAAGGTTTTATTCTATTGAAAAGGACCTTATAATAGAAAATTTCCGGTGATACGGCTTCCAAAGATGATACTGCAGAAACCACTTTAGGTGAATTTAGTTAGTTAGCCGAAAGAATCTAAAATCGTATGATGGAACAGTAGGCATATTCGCTAGAAATATTGATATCGAAACTATATCATTTGAACCAACAAACGGTTCATTCTACCATACATAAATGACATATCAGAAAGTACAGCACGACTACTGAAGCATTTTGGAATGGGTTTATAAGACAAACCAACAGAATCACTTCAAACATTCCTATATAAAGCAAAGGACAAAATGTCAAAAGACGAAAAGTTTGCTTGTTCTACGCTTTACCACCTCTAGTATGATTTCTCGTTTGATGTCTTCTGTAGTATACTAATGTTTGAGTTTTGAGTCAGGAACTGAGTCATGTACAATAAAGACCTAATCTTCTTCCTATCTGCGTCTTCTAATTAGCTACTGGGTGAAAAAGGCACTTGAAAACCAATCGGTGATTAGACCTCATATAGATCTGTGTATCAATTTGTAAAAAAATAGATCATTTGTTCTGCTGGTAAGATACGTCGACTAATCGATAATCATAAGCCTGACTGGACGCTGTCATACATGATTTTGAGCAGAATCCTCGATCCCAACAAATTCACGCTACTAAAACACTATATACTCAAGATTTGTTGATAATGTTTGTCTGATTAGTTGTAACCACAGTTAGTTGACTCGATTTCTGTATACTTAAAGATAAATACTTATTATAACAGAGTCTTATCACTTTGTCAAATTTTCCGGCAGTTTGTCGTCACTGTGTGTAAATGATCATGTGTTAAAGTGTGGTATGCATTTCGTTATTATTCATGATACAATATGTGTGTAGAAAGAAACACTAGAAATTGAACTTTGAAACTGCAATAGTAATCAATTGAGTATCATTTTTGTTGAAGACGTTAGATCCTCCGTACTCACTTGGAAAAGTTTCTAATTATGGATTTTTTTATATTTTCACGCCAAGAGACGCTTAGCTGACCTACAGCCTACACTTCCTTGACTGTCATTGGTTTATGGATTATTTTAGTACGCTATTTTATGGCTCTCTCAAGGACTTTCCTACCATTGCATATATAAGCTTGAGTTGTGTGCATATGAACCTTGTATCTTCTAGGTGCTTGTAGAATACACTTTCTACACCTTATCAAGACTTCTTGATCTAGTTAGCTGGGCTGGGGACAAATGGATTAGAATAGCTTATCGTGTCACTTTATCATTGAACTTCTTTCCGTTTACCGAGTAAGGTGAAATCGTAATAGTAGTTTCAAGCATATCAATTTTTTAACTTCGCCTATTTTTTGCTGAAGAATTTAGTGAAGTCAATCACCTGAAATCAGTATCATGGATTTATGTATTTTTTTATGGAGCCGCTAATACGTTCTTCCTTATCTTATACTCTTTTCATGGTTGTAGAGATCGTTGAGTCTCTTTGTGAAATCATGAATCGATGATCAGTGTCAAACCACCATTAGAAACCTGGAAGCACTAGACGGCCGTATCGTTCCGGTCTGGAACTCATCAACAGTGCGCATCCATGACTCCTGCACCTCACAGGATTCGAACTCAGGACCTCTGAACCACTTGTTGGGCATCCAGCGGTTTTAATGTCTAACTTCGATCAATTCATCGTCTTGCGCAACCTCATACATTGTCTTCGATGATCCAAAATTGGGCAGAACTGTAAAGAGAGGCCCAGGACAGAGTAGGTTGGAAGACAGTGCTCGATGGTCTATGATCCATTGAGGGTGACAGGCCTGAGTAAGTGCATAAGTAAGTGCATAAGTAAGTAAGTAAGTAAGTGCATAAGTAAGTAAGTAAGTAAGTAAGTGAATGAGTAAGTGGATAAGAAAGTAAGTAAGTGCATAATTAATTAATTAATTAATTGATTAGGTAAGTAAGCAAGTAAGTGAGGAAGTAGGTGAGTAAGTGAGTAAGCACGTGAGTAAGTACGTGAGCAAGTACGTAAGTAGGGAAAAGTAAGTAAGTAAGTAAGTAAGTAAGTAAGTAAGTAAGTAAGTAAGAAAGTGCATATGTGCATAAGTAAGTAAGTAAGTAAGTAAGTAAGTAAGTAAGTAAGTAAGTAAGTAAGTAAGTAAGTAAGTAAGTGCATAAGTAAGTAAGTAAGTAAGTAAGTAAGTAAGTAAGTAAGTAAGTAAGTAAGTAAGTAAGTAAGTAAGTAAGTAAGTAAGTAAGTAAGTAAGTAAGTAAGTAAGTAAGTAAGTAAGTAAGTAAGTAAGTAAGTAAGTAAGTAAGTAAGTAAGTAAGTAAGTAAGTAAGTAAGTAAGTAAGTAAGTAAGTAAGTAAGTAAAGTAAGTAAGTAAGTAAGTAGTAAGTAAGTAAGTAAGTAAGTAAGTAAGTAAGTAAGTAAGTAAGTAAGTAAGTAAGTAAGTAAGTAAGTAAGTAAGTAAGTAAGTAAGTAAGTAAGTAAGTAAGTAAGTAAGTAAGTAAGTAAGTAAGTAAGTAAGTAAGTAAGTAAGTAAGTAAGTAAGTAAGTAAGTAAGTAAGTAAGTAAGTAAGTAAGTAAGTAAGTAAGTAAGTAAGTAAGTAAGTAAGTAAGTAAGTAAGTAAGTAAGTAAGTAAGTAAGTAAGTAAGTAAGTAAGTAAGTAAGTAAGTAAGTAAGTAAGTAAGTAAGTAAGTAAGTAAGTAAGTAAGTAAGTAAGTAAGTAAGTAAGTAAGTAAGTAAGTAAGTAAGTAAGTAAGTAAGTAAGTAAGTAAGTAAGTAAGTAAGTAAGAAAGTGCATATGTGCATAAGTAAGTAAGTAAGTGCATAAGTAAGTAAGTAAGTAAGTAAGTAAGTAAGTAAGTAAGTAAGTAAGTAAGTAAGTAAAGAAAGTAAGTAAGTAAGTAAGTAAATAAGTAAGTAAGTAGGTAAGTAAGTAAGTAAGTGCAGAAGTATGTAAGTAAGTAAGTGCAGAAGTAAGTAAGTAAGTAAGTAAGTAAGTAAGTAAGTAAGTAAGTAAGTAAGTAAGTAAGTAAGTAAGTAGGTCAGTAAGTAAGTAAGTCGGTAACTAAGTAAGTAAGTTAGTTAGTTAGTAACCGTATTAGTAAGTAAGTTCATAAGTAAGCAAGTGCATCAGTAATTAAGTAAGTAACTAATAATTCATAAACTTACATTTTAAGTTAGTTTGATGCATAAATAATTTCCTGTCATAAGCATCAACTGTATACAAAATACAATAGACTAAAATTAATGTGATCAATATCATGATGAATGTGATCACTATATAACCAATGATTGAAATAAGATAACTAATTAACTTTAAACTATCGTCAATTTGTTGTTGTTTTTCAGCTGTTAAAAATTCATTTAATTTATTCACTAAATTTTCTTGTAATAATTTCCATACTGATGTAAATGTGTTTAAATAATCATTCAAATTGAATGTGGATTTCATCTAAACGAAGAAAGAAAGTACAAAACAGAGAAATACACTATTGTGAGTTTAAAATTAAATTATTAATAATGTAAAATGTATTTTTTTTTATTTATTGAGTGTCTGATTAAATTAGTTGAATAAATTGAACTTTATGAACTCAGATGTTACTTACTTACTTCCTTATGCACTTACTCATGCACTTAATTACTCATACACTTACTTACTTACTTACTTACTTACTTACTTACTTGCTTACTTACTTACTTACTTACTCGTGTTAGCCCCAATCGAGCATAGGTCAGTGACCAGTTTTCCTTTGCCGTTGTAGGTTCGAGTGAGGATGGTGCTTGTGACGCAGTTGGTGCTTTGCTGATAATGGTGTGTCCTGTTGTGTGGAAGTTTAGATCCCTAGAAATCGCCTTGGTGAATGCTTTAGTTCTGGATTTTATAATTTCTGTAGTATTGGGTTGGATCAGTTGACCTTGGGATCACAATTCCCCGTACAGGGAAATCCTTGGTTGTGATTAGGTTGTTGTGTTATTTTAGTGATGGCGTACTTTGTGACTGTCCACAAGGACGTTTCTATGGATGTATAAATAAAACGAGAGTTGTATGCTTGTATGTATTTTAGCTTGCTGGGTATTTGTGAGAATGACACTTTTCTACGCTATATCAAGGACTTTTGGTTAGTCATCGGATCTCGTGTCTGTCAACTAAGGTTAAAGCCGTAATAGTTTCAAGCATACCTAGTGACGACCATAACATCTGTCCACTTACAGGGATTCTTCCTGGAATCTAGTTTGTTCTTTCCCACAGATGGTTGTTGATGATCGTGTATGGCCGACGGATCCACAGTTCTCTTTTGTATACAGTTGTTAATAAACACCAAGTTTCAGCTCAATACTGTGTAACTGTCTTGACTTTTGCATGAAAAATTCAGATTTTGATGTTTGCTTGCAAGCAGTTGTTTTGAGTGGTGGATGTTGTTCAATTGTAGAAAAGCTACCCTTTCTTTTTCACAGTCTGTGTCTTCACATCTGCATCAGATTCACCTTGTTTATCAATGTTACTGTCCAGATGTGTAAAGATGTCCACATTCTTCAACGCTTCTTCGTCAAGTATGATTTGGTTGATACATGTTGTGCTGCATTTCGTATGAAACTATGCAAGTGAAAGGAACTTATCCAGGGGAGGGGATGCTAGATCACTAGGAATCGTTTGGTAAACTTAATTTTTTAATTTATTAATGGTAATGTAAATTTCTCATGTTTGCACCATTCCTCATTACTTTCAATTTTATGTTTCACATTTTTGAAACCATGAATCGATCAATGTTAGACCACCATTAGAAACCTGCAAGCAGTGGACAGCCGTTTCGTCCTGGTATGGGACTCATCAGCGGTGTGCATCCACGACTCCTGCACCCCGCGGGATTCGAACCCAGGACCTGCGGTATTGTGCACTGCTGAGGAGTCCCATACCAGGAAAAAACGGCCGTCCAGTGCTTCCAGGTTTCTAATGGTGGTCTAACATTGACCTATTCATGGTTTCAAAAATGTGTAACTCAACAATCTTCACAACTTCGTAATGCAAATTTTGTTTCCCATTTTAAAAGGTCCTCAGACGTTAATAGTTCGCTTTCTGTTTGACCATAATATTTTGTGACTCGTCTTCCAGGGACACATTTTGTAATGTATAGAGTACGTTTGAAATGAGTACTTGTTGTTTGTTTGTTTGTTTGTTCTGTGCTGCGTGTAAATTATATTTTTCTTCCTGATGACTTTGAACTGCTTGTTTAGTTAGTTTGGGTGGGCTGCAGTGAATAGACGAGCTGTCCCTGTTGTTGTTGTAATCTCAGAGACAGAACGAATGAGAATTGAAAGGACAGTTTGTTTTGACGAATTAATTTCAAACGTGTGAAGGTTATTATAGTGGTCAATCACACAATCAATAATTCATTCAAGGTCACGTACTTTATTGACAGCGTTAGTCCACCTGACATGAAACGAACTGTTCTCAAATCAGTAAAAAAACTAGCAACTTTTCCTTTCTTAACACATTCAATTTCAAATTTCAGTTTGGATGGATGTCTCAACTAACATATCGTTAAAAGCTAAGTCCTAAATGAACCTGATGTAAGATTCGATTTTTTGAAGGCTTTGTTTGTGAAAATCACTCCATACATACATTTGTTTGTTCTGATTCAGATTCCTTCAGTTGTACATTTTGTGTAGTCTGTTCGATTCCATTTTCGGAGATGATAATATTTGCCATTTTATTATAGTTTCTATTTCTTCTGTCGTTACTGAGTTTCTATGTTTGTTTCTGAATTGCATTTATGGTTGTTTAAGCTGAGACTTAGTCATGGCAATAGCTATGTTGATTTGTTCCTCTTTCGATTGCGTCAGTTGCTTGCTTTGACTGGAATTGTGCATTTTGATTACGAATTGAAGTACTCTTCCAGAATAGAAAACACTCTGTGTTATACAGGCAACCAAATATTATCTCTCGAACGAATCTGACCTATCCAGGAGGGATAGAATATTATTTAGTTGAATAATTAAACAATTGTTGGTGTTTGGAATAACTGATTGGTAATATTTGTTTAAGTAATAATGTAAATTTACATTATGATGAATATTAGAACCTGCATTTACCCAAATCACTCGTTTTTTGGATTTATACTGGGCAATAGCGCATATCTAAACTACCTGGACAGTTATTCTTCAATCCAAACCTCAATTTAGATCCTAACCCTGATGTTAGACATTTTTTCGCATCCCTAAACAATAAAAACTGTTTAAAACTTAGTCGACAGATAATATTTAATTGATGTTCTCAGAACAGTTCATTAACAAAACAGTACAACTTTATTACTTCTTTTTTTCTTAGTGAAACAGTAATTATTAAAACAAACTCAAATGAAAACTAATCTATTCTACAGGAAATAAATGTCAGTATATTTATTATAAACTTAATGAACTGATCATTTCAGTCACTTCCTTCCTAATTATTATTATCATGATCATTTTTATAAAGTATTTCCTTAATTAATTGTGATTTTGTTCACTCCGCTAAAATATCATCATAAAGTAAATCATATTTAATAACCTTGAAAAAATGGCGTTGATCAATTAAAACAAGGCTAGTGATTAGGAACAATTTGTACTTGATTTTTAAGACAGAATTATTGAATGTTACGTTTTTGCAGAAGATTAGTCATTGCAAAATATCATCTTATTCATATAGCTTTGGTCAGAAGATGATGTTGAAGAGAAATCATGGAGTTCACGAGTGAGGCTGTTTTACGAGTGTTACGGTTAAGACTGTACATTCCAAAACTCATAATTTTTTAAAATTCACTTTGATTTCATACTATACATTTCACATTGAAATCATGAATCGATCATTGTTAGGCCACCATTAGAAGCCCGGAAGTATGAGATGACCATTTTGTCCTAATATGAGACTTTTCAGTGGTGCGCATCCACGACTTTCGTCCACAGGAATCGGACCCAACACCTTTGAACTTGTGAGCGAGCACGAACAGGAAGAAAAGTTGAATTGGTTTGTCCGAAAGCTAGGATAAACCTTATGAGCTTAACACAATAGTGTACACAATATAATTTTATTTTCAATGTATGTGAAACTCTGCAGTGTTTATCACACACTGATATCGCTGAAAGTGTTATATAAACCAATTAGCGTTTTATCCCAGTATAGAATTATTCATCAATGCCGATTTATAATCTCATAGAAGGTAGAAAGCAAGACTTTCTAGTTTGATTGTGGATGCTTAACCGATCTTAACTAGTTAGATCGGTTAAGCATCCACATCAAATTACTAGAAAGTCTTGCTTTCTACCTTCTATGAGAGTATAAATCGGCAGTTGATGATAAATTCCTATACTGCCTTATTGTTTATAAACCGGCTAATGTGGTTTATGATAACACTTTCAGCCGATATGGGCAGTGTGTGATAAAACAACTGCAGAGTTTCACATACCATTGAAAATAAAATTATATTGTGTACACTAATGTGTTAAGCTCATAAAGGATATCCTAGCTTGCGGACAAACCAATTCAACTTTTCTTCCTGTTCGTGCTCGCTCACATAGTTCAAGGTGTTGGGTCCGGATTCCTGTGGACGAAAAGTCAGTGGATGCGCACCACTGAAAAGTCTCATATTAGGGTAATGGTGGGCCTAACAATGATCGATTCATGATTTCAATGTGAAATGTATAGTATGAAATCAAAGTGAATTTTAAAAAATTATGAGTTTTGGAATGTACAGTCTTAACCGTAACACTCGTAAAACAGCCTCACTCGTGAACTCCATGATTTCTCTTCAAATCATCCTTCTGACCAAAGCTATATGAATAAGACTGATATTTTTGCAATGACTAATCTCTGCAAAAACGTAACATTCAATAATTCTGTCTTAAAAATCAAGTACAAATTGTTCCTAATCACTAGCCTTGTTTTAATTGATCAACGCCATTTTTTCAAGGTTATCAAATATGATTTACTTTATGATTATATTTTTGTAAATTGAACAAAATCACAATTAATTGAGGAAATACTTTATAAAAATGATCATAATAATAATAATTAGGAAGGAAGAGACTGAAATGATCAGTTCATTAAGTTTATAATAAATATACTGACATTTATTTCCTGTAGAATAGATTAGTTTTCATTTGAGTTTGTTTTAATAATTGGTGTTTCACTAAGAAAAAAAGAAGTGATAAAGTTGTATTGTTTTGTTAATTAACTGTTCTGAGAACATCAATTAAATATTATCTGTCGACTAAGTTTCTAAACAGTTTTTATTGTTTAGGGATGCAAAAAATGTCTAATATCAGGGGTAGGATCTAAATTGAGGTTTGGATTGAAGAATAACTGTCTAGGTAGTTTAGAAACGTGCTATTGCCCAGTTTAAATCCAAAAACGAGTGATTTGGGTTAATGACGGTTCTAATATTCATCATAAATGTAAATTTACATTATTACTTAAACAAATATTACCAATCAGTTATTCCAAACACCAACAATTGTTTAATTATTCAACTAAATAATATTCTATCCCTCCTGGATAGGTCAGATTCGTTCGAGAGATAATATTTGGTTGCTGTATAACACAGAGTGTTTTCTATTCTGGAAGAGTACTTCAATTCGTAATCAAAATGCACAATTCCAGTCAAAGCAAGCAACCGACGCAATCGAAAGAGGAACAAATCAACATAGCTATTGCCATGACTAAGTCTCAGCTTAAACAACCATAAATGCAATTCAGAAACAAACATAGAAACTCAGTAACGACAGAAGAAATAGAAACTATAATAAAATGGCAAATATTATCATCTCCGAAATGGAATCGAACAGACTACACAAAATGTACAACTGAAGGAATCTGAATCAGAACAAATTACAAATGTATGTATGGAGTGATTTTCACAAACAAAGCCTTCAAAAAATCGAATCTTACATCAGGTTCATTTAGGACTTAGCTTTTAACGATATGTTAGTTGAGACATCCATCCAAACTGAAATTTGAAATTGAATGTGTTAAGAAAGGAAAAGTTGCTAGTTTTTTTACTGATTTGAGAACAGTTCGTTTCATGTCAGGTGACTAACGCTGTCAATAAAGTACGTGACCTTGAATGAATTATTGATTGTGTGATTGACCACTATAATAACCTTCACACGTTTGAAATTAATTCGTCAAAACAAACTGTCCTTTCAATTCTCATTCGTTCTGTCTCTGAGATTACAACAACAACAGGACAGCTCGTCTATTCACTGCAGCCCACCCAAACTAACTAAAACAAGCAGTTCAAAGTCATCAGGAAGAAAATATAATTTACACGCAGCACAGAACAAACAAACAAACAACAAGTACTCATTTCAAACGTACTCTATACATTACAAAATGTGTCCCTGGAAGACGAGTCACAAAATATTATGGTCAAACAGAAAGCGAACTATTAACGTCTGAGGACCTTTTAAAATGGGAAACAAAATTTGCATTACGAAGTTGTGAAGATTGTTGAGTTACACATTTTTGAAACCATGAATAGGTCAATGTTAGACCACCATTAGAAACCTGGAAGCACTGGACGGCCGTTTTTTCCTGGTATGGGACTCCTCAGCAGTGCACAATACCGCAGGTCCTGGGTTCGAATCCCGCGGGGTGCAGGAGTCGTGGATGCACACCGCTGATGAGTCCCATACCAGGACGAAACGGCTGTCCACTGCTTGCAGGTTTCTAATGGTGGTCTAACATTGATCGATTCATGGTTTCAAAAATGTGAAACATAAAATTGAAAGTAATGAGGAATGGTGCAAACATGAGAAATTTACATTACCATTAATAAATTAAAAAATTAAGTTTACCAAACGATTCCTAGTGATCTAGCATCCCCTCCCCTGGATAAGTTCCTTTCACTTGCATAGTTTCATACGAAATGCAGCACAACATGTATCAACCAAATCATACTTGACGAAGAAGCGTTGAAGAATGTGGACATCTTTACACATCTGGACAGTAACATTGATAAACAAGGTGAATCTGATGCAGATGTGAAGACACAGACTGTGAAAAAGAAAGGGTAGCTTTTCTACAATTGAACAACATCCACCACTCAAAACAACGGCTTGTTAGCCAACAGTAAAGTCTGAATTTTCCATGCAAAAATCAAGACAGTTATACAGTATTGAGCTGAAACTCGGTATTCATTAGCAACTGTCTAAAAAAGAGACTGGGGATCCGTCGGCCATACACGATCATCAACAACCATCTGTGGGAAAGAACAAACTAGATTCCAGGAAGAATCCCTGTAAGTGGACAGATGTTAAGGTTGTCACTAAGTATGCTTGAAACTATTACGGTTTAACCTTAGTTGACAAACGAGAACGAGACAATGAACCAGCGTTCAGGTAGGCTACTCTGATCCGATGACTAACCAAAAGTCTTGATATAGCGTAGAAAGTGTATTCTACAAACACCCAGCAAGCACAATACAATCAAGCATACAACTCTCGTTTATTTATACATCATAGAAACGTCCTTGTGACAGTCACAAAAGTAGCACACTAAAATAACACAACAACCAATCACAACCAAGGATTTCCCTGATGGGGAATGTGATCCCAAGGTCAACTGATCAACCCATACTCAGAAATATAAAATCCAGAACTAAAGCATTCACCAAGCGATTTCTAGGGATCTAACTTCCCAACAACAGGACACACATTACAGCAAGCAACCAACTGCGTCACAAGACCATTCCTCACTCGGAACCTACAACGGCAAAGGAAAACTGGTCATTGAACTATGCTCGATTGGGGGTTACACGAGTAGGTGGGTAAGTAAGTAAGCAAGTAAGTAAGTAAGTAAGTGCATAAGTAAGTAAGCAAGTAATTTAGTAAGTGCATAAGTAAGGAAGTTAGTATGTAAGTAACTAAGTAACGTCTGATTTCAAAGAGTTCAATTTATTCAACTAATTTAATCAAACACTCAATAAAAAAAAAAAAAAAAATACATTTTACATTATTAATAAGTTAATTTTAAACTTACAATACTGTTTTATCTGTTTTGTACTTTCTTTTCTTGTTTTTATGTTTTAGATGAAATCAACATTCAATTTGAATGATTATTTAAACACATTTACATCTGTATGGAAATTATTACAAGAAAATTTAGTGAATAAATTAAATGAATTTTTAACAGCTGAAAAACAACAACAAATTGATGAAAGTTTAAAGATAATTAGTTATGCTATTTCAATCATTGGTTATATAATGATTACAATCATAATGATATTGATCACATTAGTTTTAGTCTATTGTATTGTGTATACAGTTGATGCTTATGACAGGAAGTTATTTATGCATCAAACTAACTTAAAATGTAAGTTTATGAATTATAACTTACGCACTTACTTATGCACTTACTTAATTATGCACTTACTTACTTACTTACTTACTTACTTATGCACTTACCTACTTATGCACCTACTTACTTATTTACTTACTTATACACTTATTTATGCACTTACTTACTTGCTTACTTATGCAATTACATACTTACTTACTTACTTACTTACTTACTTACTTACTTACTTACTTACTTACTTACTTACTTACTTACTTACTTACTTACTTACTTACTTACTTACTTACTTACTTACTTTCCTTACTTACTTACTTACTTACTTACTTACTTACTTACTTACTTACTTACTTACTTATGCACTTACTTACTTACTTATGCACATATGCACTTTCTTACTTACTTACTTACTTACTTACTTACTTACTTACTTACTTACTTACTTACTTACTTACTTACTTACTTACTTACTTACTTACTTACTTACTTACTTACTTACTTACTTACTTACTTACTTACTTACTTACTTACTTACTTACTTACTTACTTACTTACTTACTTACTTACTTACTTACTTACTTACTTACTTACTTACTTACTTACTTACTTACTTACTTACTTACTTACTTACTTACTTACTTACTTACTTACTTACTTACTTACTTACTTACTTACTTACTTACTTACTTACTTACTTACTTACTTACTTACTTACTTACTTACTTACTTACTTACTTACTTACTTACTTACTTACTTACTTACTTACTTACTTACTTACTTACTTACTTACTTACTTACTTACTTACTTACTTACTTACTTACTTACTTACTTACTTACTTACTTACTTACTTACTTACTTACTTACTTACTTATGCACTTACTTACTTACTTACTTACTTACTTACTTACTTACTTACTTACTTACTTACTTACTTACTTACTTACTTACTTACTTACTTACTTACTTACTTACTTACTTACTTACTTACTTACTTACTTACTTACTTACTTACTTACTTACTTACTTACTTACTTATGCACTTACTTACTTACTTACTTACTTACTTACTTACTTACTTACTTACTTACTTACTTACTTACTTACTTATGCACATATGCACTTTCTTACTTACTTACTTACTTACTTACTTACTTACTTACTTACTTACTTTTCCCTACTTACGTACTTGCTCACGTACTTACTCACGTGCTTACTCACTTACTCACCTACTTCCTCACTTACTTGCTTACTTACCTAATCAATTAATTAATTAATTAATTATGCACTTACTTACTTTCTTATCCACTTACTCATTCACTTACTTACTTACTTACTTACTTATGCACTTACTTACTTACTTACTTATGCACTTACTTATGCACTTACTCAGGCCTGTCACCCTCAATGGATCATAGACCATCGAGCACTGTCTTCCAACCTACTCTGTCCTGGGCCTCTCTTTACAGTTCTGCCCAATTTTGGATCATCGAAGACAATGTATGAGGTTGCGCAAGACGATGAATTGATCGAAGTTAGACATTAAAACCGCTGGATGCCCAACAAGTGGTTCAGAGGTCCTGAGTTCGAATCCTGTGAGGTGCAGGAGTCATGGATGCGCACTGTTGATGAGTTCCAGACCGGAACGATACGGCCGTCTAGTGCTTCCAGGTTTCTAATGGTGGTTTGACACTGATCATCGATTCATGATTTCACAAAGAGACTCAACGATCTCTACAACCATGAAAAGAGTATAAGATAAGGAAGAACGTATTAGCGGCTCCATAAAAAAATACATAAATCCCTGATATTGATTTCAGGTGATCGACTTCACTAAATTCTTCAGGCAAAAATAGGCAAAGTTAGAAAATTGATATGCTTGAAACTACTATTACGATTTCACCTTACTCGGTAAACGGAAAGAAGTTCAATGATAAAGTGACACGATAAGCTATTCTAATCCGATTGTCCCCGGCTCTGCTAACTTGACCAAGAAGTCTTGATATGGTGTAGAAAGTGTATTCTACAAGCACCTCCAAAACACGAGGTTCAGAAGCACACAAACCAAGCTTATTTATGCAATGGTAGGAAAGTCCTTGAGAGAGCCATAAAATAGCGTACTAAAATAATCCATAAACCAATGACAGTCAAGGAAGTGTAGGCTGTAGGTCAGCTAAGCGTCTCTTGGCGTGAAAATATAAAAAAATCCATAATTAGAAACTTTTCCAAGTGAGTACGGAGGATCTAACGTCTTCAACAAAAATGATACTCAATTGATTACTATTGCAGTTTCAAAGTTCAATTTCTAGTGTTTCTTTCTACACACATATTGTATCATGAATAATAACGAAATGCATACCACACTTTAACACATGATCATTTACACACAGTGACGACAAACTGCCGGAAAATTTGACAAAGTGATAAGACTCTGTTATAATAAGTATTTATCTTTAAGTATACAGAAATCGAGTCAACTAACTGTGGTTACAACTAATCAGACAAACATTATCAACAAATCTTGAGTATATAGTGTTTTAGTAGCGTGAATTTGTTGGGATCGAGGATTCTGCTCAAAATCATGTATGACAGCGTCCAGTCAGGCTTATGATTATCGATTAGTCGACGTATCTTACCAGCAGAACAAATGATCTATTTTTTTACAAATTGATACACAGATCTATATGAGGTCTAATCACCGATTGGTTTTCAAGTGCCTTTTTCACCCAGTAGCTAATTAGAAGACGCAGATAGGAAGAAGATTAGGTCTTTATTGTACATGACTCAGTTCCTGACTCAAAACTCAAACATTAGTATACTACAGAAGACATCAAACGAGAAATCATACTAGAGGTGGTAAAGCGTAGAACAAGCAAAATATATTATTAATTAGCAACAATTAGGCAATAATGAAACACATAACAACAGTCACTGTAGTCACTGACAGCTTACTTACTTACTAACGCCTGTTACCACTAATGGAGAATAGCCAGCCTGCCAGCATACTCCAACCAACTATGTCTTGGGCCTTCTCTTCTAGTTCTATCCAATCGCTATTCATTCTTTTCATTTCTGTCTCCAGTTCTCGGAGCAACCATTTCTTTGGTCTTCCTCTTTTTCTTTGACGTTGAGGATCGCAAGTGAGGGCTTGTGTTATGATGCAGTTGAGTGCTTTCCTCAACGTGCGTCATATCCACCTGATTTGTTCTGAGGGAATCTGGTTTGTTCTATCCCATGGTAGACTGTTACTGATAGTATCTAGACAATGGCTTCATAATACACGCCCTTTCATAAGAGTGAAATCTTGCAATTTATGTATTCGCGCTTGTAACGAAATGAACCTTGAAAGCCAAAAAAACACTACCATCTTTTCATCCTCTGTCTTTTTCCCAATATCCCAGGATGATAAGTGTTAGGATATTCATCCCAAATCCTGAGAGAATTACTTTTCTTATTGGTCGTCCTAACTATCAATGTCACATACTTCAAATGTTGTTTCCTATTCAACCTAACTGTTTTATGACCCGGACCCAGATACCTAGTCCGGGATCCTGATTCTCTTCTGGAATCAAACCTCGTACTTTCTGGATGCTTATAGAATATATGTTCTAGTTCATATCAAGTCTTCTTGTTTTACTCAATGGAGGTTTGGGATACTCCGGTTAGAGTAGCCTATCGTGTCACCTTATCATCGATCCTCACTCTCGTTTACCGACTAAGGTAAACTCGTAATAGTTCAAGCATATCAGTTCACATGTTGACATGCATTCGTGTAACAGTAAGTTGTAAAAGGCTCACATTACAACAATTCAGTGTACCGAGTTTAAGCAGACTGTTAGGATATTCACCAAATATCCTAAGAGTACTATTTTTGGAAGTATAATCCTATTGGTCAAAATTATGGTCGTTTTAACAGTGTCAAAGTCAAATACTTCAGTGTTGTCTCTGATTGGTCATCCGGACTGTCAATGTCATTCTAAATGTTCTTTCCTATTGGTCGTCTTAAACTGTCAGTATCACAGACTTCGATGCTCTTTCTTATTCAACCTAAATGTATAAATACGCACTATCTGTAAGACTTCATGATTCCGTTCCTTCCTGCCTACCTCCTCACTTCTGTACTCGACCCAATAAACAACTCCATCCAACGGTGTTGCGTTCTGATATATAGGAGGAGATTTGGGCATAGTATTTGGGTCGTATTGGAATATTTGAATTCGGACATCGGTAGAATTTGAATAGTTACGTAGCAGCATTTTAAACACAGATACTCATCAATTATCCAGACAATGAATTGACCAGTTTGAAATATTTTCAATTCTAATAAATAGCAAAGTACTTTTTCTTGACACAGTCACCAAATTCCTAATCTAACTAGCTTATTATCATTAACTATAGGGAATATAATATGAAGTAAAAGACAGAAGCAACTTCGTTACAATAAGACAAAATGTAACAATTATATTCATTTTCTTTCTGAGTGTCAACCATAAAACTTACATTACTATTAAAAATATTAAATTTACACACATGACAATGAAGCATATTCATATTAGTTGTGTCGTTTTATTCATGTTTCCCTCTCTTTTTTTTCTGTTCAAAAATCAATTCTAGATAATTCATACAAATTATTCACATTACAAATTCAAGGCAAATTTCATGAAAAATTATTTGCTCTCAAATTAAATCGTTCTTTATATTTACCTCATCATATTTTATTATTACATAAAACACAATTAAAATATATAACTATTTCTGTCACGTTAATTAGTATTTTATTAAGTTTCATTCTTTCAACACTTTGTATCTTATTACCACTCATAATTTTAATCGATACAGAAGTATGCCGATATTTAACTAGTGATTCTGGTGTCCGGTTAACAGATTTCACTATCGACTTATTCATACAATATCAATGGTCCAATGGAATTTTCACCAGAAATTCTTCAATAATATCACAAGATTTATGGAATTATATTAATTTACCCGCGCCAAGATATGTTTATTCTACTATACGTGATCAATGTCAACGTACAATGTTCAATAATGTTGAAGATAGTAATCATAGTATGATGAATAAAACACATCGTAATTACAATTTATTAAAATTGTTAAATTATCATCAAATTATTGATTTTAATAAAATTTTAAATTCATCAGAAATTCAACAAAAAATCAAAGATGCAGAAACGTAGGTGATGTTTTCATTTAGTTCTGTTATTTGTTATTGATTGTTTAAGATAAAGACGAATATCATGTTAGTTTAGTTCATTTTAGTTTACTGATCATTTTGTACATTCAGGACAGAAGCGTACATAAACCCGATCGATACAAACCCAATAAAAAAGTTGGACAACTAAATCTCTAAGACTTTAAACAGATTTGTCAAATCAGGACAAATATCAAAACAAGATCAATGGAGAATGAAATCCAATAGACCAGTAATTCCATGATTCTACGGTAGGACGAAACTCCACAAACCCAACATTCCATTACACCCAGTTGTATCCCTCCCCCGGAACCCCGACCTACAGCTTATCAAGAGAAATTTCAAGGATATTAAAACATCTGGTGAATGGATCCAACTACTTCACTGAATCTGCCACACAATTTCTGGATAAACTCAAGGGGATTTAAATTGACAACGACGAGACGATGATATCCTTCGACGTAATAGCCTTATTCACCTCAATAGAGCCAAGCTTAGCTAAGGAAACTCTTTCCTTGCTCCTCATCAATGACAAAAATCTGCACAAATATACAAAGCTTCAGAGTCAAAGTCTGCTTGAACTCATCGATCTATGCTTAACAACGTATTTTCAGTTGAACAGCAGAGTCTACGAACTAACAAAAGGAACACCAATGGGATCACCAATATCAGGACTTATCGCGGAAGCTGTAATGCAGAGACTAGAAGCGTCGATTTTACCAATGATCAAGCCAGAAATGTGCGTTCGCTATGTAGACGACACATCATCAAAAAGAACGAGCTGCAGAACATCTACAATCAGATCAACAACGTCTTCGATGACATTAAATTCACAATGGAAAAGGAATCAAACAACAGTCTATCATTCCCGGATGTACACTAATCACCAGAACTAACACAGGAAAACTGGAAACACAAGTATTTCGGAAACCAACTCACACAGACGTGATTCTCAACTACAACAGCAACAACCCAAGAACCCACAAAATCAACTGCATACAAACTTTGTTCAAGAGAGTGAAGGCACACTGTAGCACATACGAAGCATTAAAAAACGAGGAAAAACACCTTGTGACTATCTTCCAAAAGAACGGCTATCCACGCAACTTCATCAAAAAATATCAACCGAAACCATCATCAGATGTGAAATCAAGCACAGGAAACAATAAACGGATCATCCTGCCATACATAAAAGACATATTGGAGCATACAGCACGACTACTGAAACCATTTGGAATAGGTGTAGCACACAAACTAACACAATCACTTCAATCAATCCTATGTTGTAGATCAAAGGACAAAATGACAAAAGAAGAAAAACCAAATATCATCTAAAAAATAAACAACTGCTCAGATTGTGAAAATCCCTACATAGGACAAAGTGGACGACCTCTTCAGCTTTGTTTACGTGAATATCAATTAACAGTCAAACGCCACGACAACGCTTCGCTTACATCAATACACACCGACAATTATGGACACACATTTGATTGGAACAATGTGGAAATATACTGAATAGGTGGAGGACAAATAACACTAGAGAAATTTTGGAATCTTGGCACTCAGTTTAATCAGCAATTAACAAACACATCGACATTGACCCAATTTATCAACCAATCAGGAAAATCATAGGTGACACAGGATCAAGAAACAGATCAAAAGGGGGATAAAATCGAAACAAAGGTGCAAACAACGACAGGTTTAATTAAGGTCAATAACAGCAATCGATCAAGATCGAGGTTAACAGAACAAGCTACAGGCGAAACATGGAGGAGAAATTCGAATACTTCACTTTATCTATCTGAAGTTTGTGCTGCTGCTGATGATGATGTTCAGAAGAAGAACAATGAAGGAAGCTTCACAACCAAAATATCCAACTTAGAGAATGAAATACCACCACCAAATTGGTCACTTACTACTTGGTGATCGATTAGTTGAAGATAGTTCATTCCTACAGGTATATTCTAGTCACGATTCATATAGCTTACTAGTGAAGTTTTGAATAGCGAGATTGAGTGACACGACAGTGTATCGGCCAAGGAGAATCTGTTCCTTTGAGATTACGAGGACACTTTGCTGAATAACATCAAATCTAGATTCAAGATTTCTTGTCACCTATTTCTCACTTCCAAACACGAATATTGTTTAGAATCATTTTGGTGGAAAGTATTAACTGGAATAGTTTAACGCGTACAACTTCAGTGATAAACAAAGAAGTCAGCTTATTTTGTCTTTCGATTTTAGAAACATACCAATATTTCAGTGAATAACTGTTTTCAATAACTACTCATCATCAGGCTCTACAGTTATATATTCATAATGTTTTCGTCATTGATGAATTAGACAGTGTTATATATTAAAAAAATGATGACATTTTGTAATGATTACGGTATAAAATTAGAAAGGTCATAGTGAGTGAAGAAAATTTTTAGCTCAGTTGGATGGTTGTGGTGGTATTTCATTCTCTAAGTTGGATATTTTGGTTGTGAAGCTTCCTTCATTGTTCTTCTTCTGAACATCATCATCAGCAGCAGCACAAACTTCAGATAGATAAAGTGAAGTATTCGAATTTCTCCTCCATGTTTCGCCTGTAGCTTGTTCTGTTAACCTCGATCTTGATCGATTGCTGTTATTGACCTTAATTAAACCTGTCGTTGTTTGCACCTTTGTTTCGATTTTATCCCCCTTTTGATCTGTTTCTTGATCCTGTGTCACCTATGATTTTCCTGATTGGTTGATAAATTGGGTCAATGTCGATGTGTTTGTTGATTGCTAATTGACTTGAGTGCCGAGCTTCTAAAATTTCTCTAGTATTCTTTGTGCTCTCCCTATCTAGTATTTCTCGATTGTTCCAATCGAATATAGTATTTCCATAATTGTCCGTGTGTATTGATACACGTTAAGAACTGTCGTGACGTGTGACTGCTAATTGATGTTCATGTAAACGAAGCTGAAGAGGCCGTCCATTTTTGTCCTATGTAGTGTTTTTCACAGTTTGAGCAGTTGTTTATTTTTTAGATGATATTTGGTTTTTCTTCTTTTGTCATTTTGTCCTTTGATCTACAACATAGGATTGATTGAAGTGATTGTGTTAGTTTGTGTGCTACACCTATTCCAAATGGTCTCAGTAGTCGTGCTATGTACTCCATCATCTCTAAGGTCATAAATAGGGTGTCAATCAATAAATATTATAGTACAATGAATCAATCGTACGAGAAACTTCGTCCAGACAATGAAGATAATAATGTTAACGACTGTGTCTATTAAGAAATATATGAACAGAAATGAAAGAGGAGATAAGAAGTTTAGAATAACCAGTTTAAGTTTCTACTGATCCTGTCATGGACAAAGGTGAACACAGAGGCTGATTGTATCTATTTCGAATCTATAAGTTCGGTTTCCTGAAGTTGATCCAGATGACTACAGTTATGCAGAGGAGTGGGAAGAGGAGCTCCTTCAGGTAGATTGTGCGGAGCTTGATACAAAACAGAGAATATGATGTTCACTATCTTCTTTCTACCAAGTGAGGAAGGATGACACTATTAATTGATTTCATGACTTCTTTTCCCAACTATCTTCCCGGCCATGCAAGGATAAATCTCTCTAATAAGTATGGTCTGTGTAACTAGCTCCATAGAAGTAGTTGAATCCGTATACACACATGAAGAAGCTCGTTATTTGTAATCTATTCTGGATTCGTTGTGTTAGCAGTACTGATTTGGTTAGAATGATTATATGTAACTTAGAGACATGAAATATTTATTCAGCAGATTTTTTTAAGTAAACGTGTCAAAATATCATCCATTATGACCCCTTTTTAAAAATAAGGGTTTTTTCTCTGAACATCTCAGAACTTGTTCTACTTTTCCTTTGCTATACTTGTCACATACGATTAACGTATCATCTCTATATATTGACAGAAATCATTAATCAATCATTGTTAGACTACCATTAGAAACCTGGAAGCACTAGACGGCCGCTTCGTCCCGGTATAGGACTCATCAGTAGTGCGCATCCACGACTCCTGCTCCTCACAGGATTCAAACCCAGGACCACCAGTTTTGTGTAGACGCATAAACTCTGGACCACGGAGCTGGTCGGCACCCAACGATGTTAATGTCTAACTCTGATTGATCTAGGGATTTTGCGCGACCTCACCCATTGGTCTTCGTTAGTTACTGCCTAAACCTGAGGGGGATTGAACTCCACTTTTCAAGCCTTCTCATTAGAACTGTGAGAATTTCCTCGCCAATGTAGTCATCACTAGTAGGCACATTGCACAATTTTTTCAATTAGAGTTATGGAGATCAGTGATTGATGATTTCAATGTGTAAAACCACTGATCTCCATAACTAATTTAAAAACTAGTAATAATCTAGCTTATTCCGGAAATATTTGAAAGGTTCATTGTTTTAGTTTTGGCTAGGAAAATATCAGCGAGGAGCAGACGCAGATGAGATTCCATCACTACTCCATCTATTCAACCATAGTATTCATTGTTAAGCAAAAATTGGATGTTTATTATGTTTTCTGTAAGCCTCATTCTATTGGTCGATTCCTATTGGCCAATATTTAAGGTCGTCCTAAACTATCAAGTTCACATACTTTTAAATGTTGTTTCCTATTGGTTAGCATTCACGATCGACCTAAGGATCAGAGTAACCTATCATGTCATTGGATCATTGTCTTCGCTTTTGTTTATCGACTAAGGTGAACTCGTAATAGTTCAAGCATATCATTATTGACAAGCATAACAATGATAAAGTCAAGTAGTATGTATTCCAGAAGACTTGAGCTCCCTATGCGTATACGTAGACCTATATTGTTGTTATTTCAAAAGGTTTTATGGTCGTAGTTAGTTGACAAACGGTCTTCTCAATGAGCTTTTTTACATGACTCTAGCTTTTAGAATTTCGTCTGATCATCCAACAAGCTATTCACCTAATCTGTCTAATCAATCTTGTTTAGAATTACAGAACTTGATCCTTTATCTGGTTTAATGGTATTAGGATATTATTCATCCAATATCCTAAGAGAACTACTGGTCAATTCCTATTGGTTAATTCCTACTGGTCAATTTTAAGGTCATCCTAGATATCAATGTCACGTACTTCAATGTTGTTTCTTATTGGTCGTCCTGATTATCAATGTCACTTCAAATATTGCTTCCTATTGGTCGTCTTAACTGTCCATGTCACAGACTTCGATGCTGTTTCCTTCTCGACCTAAATGTATAAATACGCATTATCTGTAATGTTTTATAGACCGGACCCGGATCCCTAGTCCGGGATCCTTATCCTCTTCTGAACTCGGACTTTGTACTTTCTGGATGCTTGTAGAATACACGTTCTACTTCATTTCAAGTCTTCTTTCTTCACTCAATCGGTGGTTTGGGACACTCGGATTAGAGTAGCCTATCATGTTGCCGGATCATCGATCCCAGCTCTCGTTTTCCGACTTCGGTAAACTCGTAATAATAATTCAAGCTAGCAAAATGACATATTTACGCATATACATAACAAATGGTAATTTTTTTTTAACCGTTCACAAACATCTTCTACTCTCCTTGTGTTATCCATTGTTGATTATTTTGTTTTCTAAATATTTTCTCTTTTTCTCTCTCTCTCACAAACTAGTTCATCTGTCAATGAAATTATTAATATGAATCTAGCAAGCTTTATACCATCTGATTTAGATAGTTTAACATTAATAGCAAGAAAATTGTCAATTTATTTGGATGGAAAAAATTATACGGTAAGTAAGCATGAATCATACTAATTAAGAATGACAAGTTTGAATGATTTGATTGTGTTTCATTTTTATGTGCCTATCTTCAATTTAGTTGAATAATCATAGTTGAATGGTTGAGGATACTGAATTTTGATAGTGATTTGTAGTAGATTGTTAATTCATGATTCCTCACACACTGTGTGATGTGCCTGCAACGAGTACGAGTTTATCTTACTCGGTAAACGGAACGAAGATTAACCATACAGTGATACGATAGGCTATTTTAATCCGATTATCCCAAGCCCCACTAACTAGAGGAAGAAGTCTTGATAAGACGTAGAGAAATTTGCTCCACGAGGTCCACAAGCACACAAATCAAGCTTATTTATATAATGATTAAACAAACACCCTTGGTGAGAGTCACAAAATAACGGACTAAAATAATCAATCGTCCAATGACAGTCAAGGATTTTCCGAGTGGGAAAATATAAGCTGAGGGTCAACTAAGCGTAACTTTGCGCGAAAACATAAAAATTCAAAAGTTCAGGATAAAATTACAAATGAGGACATTTTCCAAGTGAGTTCTGGGGATCTAACTTCTCGAACCACATGAAAGGATACTTCTAGGTAAAAGATGTGAAAAGTAAACTGTCTTATGAGTGGTCTAAATTATCTGGAAGTATGACCACAATTTATAAGAGATAAGCTCTTGAAGCTGGTCATACATATCCGTTTAGCAGGTAAATGTTAATGAACCATGTTTCAAGGTCTTACATGCCAGAATGGGAAGCTATGTGGGCCAACATTATCTATACCTCATTTTCCATTGAGGGAATTCAGCATTACTGTAGATGCAGATTGGTGATGAAAACACCTTGTTTCAGTCAACCTCCAGGAGAGTTGACTGTACAACTTTACTTTCAGATCATCAGTTTACTTTCCAGGATTAAGCATTGGAACCAATATAACCAAGCCACGTTAACAAGACATGGAAGTCCAACTGTGATATCAAGGTAGTAGCTACAGTTGGACTTAAAATAAAACTTATTGTGTTCTGTATAATTAAACCACTTGCTTACTCTTACTTTACTTACGCCTGCCACCTTCAATGGAGCATAGACCGCCAACCAGTATTCTCCAACCTACTCTGTCCTGGGGCTCCATTTCCAGTTCTGTCCAATTTTTGTTCATTCTTCTCATGTCTGTTTCCATTTCTCAGCATAATGTGTTTCTTGACTTTTCTCTTCTCCTTTGACCTTGAGGGTTCCCCCTGAGAGCTTGTTTTCTTGACGAGACACAAGAATTTGTAATATATATATATATATATATATATATATATATATATATATATATATATATGTTTGGTCCTAACATAAGATTTCTCAACAGTGTACATTACGACCAACTGTGGATCGAACCCAAGATATCCAAGTTTTACAGCAAATGTTAAACTTTAGAACAGTAATTTGGGTTCGAGTGGTTCCAACTTATGCTTTCAATCAACTCATGTTACTAATCAATCACTATCCTACGTTATTAGAAAGTGACTGTATCATATTCGACATAGTTGAACTCTACAGGCAATAGCTTTTCACTAAAACTACTAAAATTACCTCTAGAAGTTTATCACTAGTGACAACATGGTTATAATTACTATAAAGGTTTATGGAGACTATCGACTTGCATAGTTTATATCATGAACAGATCTTAGTTATATAAACATTAAAATCTCTAGTCAAAATGTCGCTAACCAGATCGAAACAGTTGTTTTTATTACTTCCTTTATTACATTTCTACACTTAAACTAATTCTACTTATGTTGGGGACGTTAGATCAACAGAACTCACTTGGAAATCGGTCCTCATTTTGTAAATTTGTGCTGAAATTTCGAGTTTTTATGTTTTCGCACCAAGAGACGCTTAGTTGACTTTCAGCTTACATTTCCCGACCGGAAAATCCTTGACTGTCATTGGTTGATGGGCGATTCTATCATTGTATAAATAAGCTTGATTTGTGTGATTGTCGAATTCGTACTTTCTGGTCGCCTGGGGAATACATGCTCTCTATGTCTTATCAAAACTTCTTCCTCTAGCTAGTGGAGCCTGTGATAATCGGATTAGAATAGCCTATCGTGTCACTGTATCGTTGACCTTCGTTCCGTATACAGAGTAAGTTGAACTCGTAGTAGCATTCAAGCATATCAGTTGGCGAGTATATCAACTTATTGTTCGTCTTTTAACTGCTAGCTAATCGTTAAACAAATATCGATCGATACATGTTCACTTTCATGTAGGTAAATTAGAACATCATTTTTTTTATCTCATAATGAGTTAATTATCAGGTTTTCTGTAAACAGCTTACTTTCTTATTGCGTGTTAATTAAACTTTATATGCTATGAGTTTTTCTTAGTTGGTGTAAACTTTATTTTCGAAATGTGTTTATGTTTAAAAGCAATAATACATTTTCTTATTTCTCATATAAGTAGATAATCGCTTTTCTAATGTTTCATGGTTTAGTGGCAAGTTGCTTCTTCAGACAGTAAAGAACTGAAATTCAATAGTGAAAACCTTTTTGAATGATCAATTTTTTCATTGAAGTCATGAGTCAGTCATTGTTAGATTACCATTAGAAACTAGGAAGCTCTCGACGACCGTTTCTTCCTAGTATGGGACTCTTCACAAGTGCGTATCTACGACACCTGCAAGTGAAAACTGAACCCAGGACTCTCGGTCTTATTAGGGAACGTTTAACCTCTAGACCTATGAACTGGTCGGCATTCGATAGTGTTAATATCTAACTCTAAGCAATCCAAAGTCTTGTGCAACCTCTCCGATTACTTGTAATACCTTTACTACCTCTACTACTATTGGATTTGAATTGACAATTACATCTCTGTGTTAATGTGGTATGGCAAAATGAACTGATGTACTTACGTACGAAGTTCTACGTTGAGACTGACTGACTGATTCTAAACATCGAATGTTCAACCATTCGGTTGAAAATTCAACCTCCGTTCCATAGACTCTGGTTACTGGATTAAATCGTTCGTCATTACAGCGAAACTCGTGAGACTCAAAGCTAGTTGTGTAAACCTGTATAAGTAAATTACCATTCTGGCTGTGTGTTCGTACATGGCTACTACCGGGAAGTTCGATACTAGGATGAATCGGTCGTCGATTGCTCCAAAGTTTTTCAATGACTGTCTATCAAAGATCTGTTTATTGCATCAATAAAATTCAACACTCTTGACAGCTCAATTCTAGCATTGTCCAACATACTATATCCTGGACCTCCCTCCGCAGTTCCGTCCTATTTCTGCTCATTCTTCTCATATCTGTCTCCATTTCTTGGCGTAATGTATTCCTTGGTCTTCCTCTTTTCCTTTGACCTTGTGGGTCCCAAGTGAGGACTTGTCTTGTGACACAGTTAGATGCTTGCTTTCTGCAATGTGTGTCTTATCCACTTCTAACGCTTTTTTCTGATTTCCTTCTTAACTGGAATCTGGTTAGCTCTCTCCCAAAGTAGGTTGTTGCTAATGGTGTCTAACCAACGGATAGGAAAAATATACACAAACTAATGAAACCCTTCTTTGTCTATTTACTAAATGTTTGTAAAAGAATTATCATTTTACGATATAATATAATTTATTTCATAAATTAAATTAGATTGAAGACAAAATGTATTAGTTTAATAAGCGTAAAGAATATAAATTCTTATTACTGAATCATATCAGTAAGGTAAGAAAAAAATTTCTATTAAATTGAAAATGTAACTTTGATTTTTGCGCGAAATTCAATTACAATATGTATTTTGATCAGTGAAAATATCTTTCTATTGTATTCAAAGCATTTCTTCAAATGATCGTAAATAAAAAAAATCTTTCAGGAATGCCAGATAAAAATATTTATGTTGAATGTGTCAACTCTTCAGTTCTTTCTCTTCAGAGTGTATATAATAGTCATATCGTCCTACAATATAGTTAGGCGTCCTACAATAGTTGTTTTCCTGGACCTGAAGGCGGCAATTGACTCAGTGGATCGTGAGGTTCTGTGGCAGTGTCTGTCATTGAAAGGTGCACCAGAAAAGTACATTAACCTTATGCAAGCTCTTTACTCGAACACCACTGGTTGAGTGAGAGCTTATGGCGAACTATCATCAGGGATGTCCACTTTCTCCATTCTTGTTTAATTTTATCATAGACATGCTCTTAGAAATAACCATATCCTCGTCTGAATTTTCAGGAGTAGACCTTTTACCAGGTGGCTCGGTTAGTGATTTAGAATATGCCGATCACATAGTCCTACTTGGTGAAGACGCTGACAAAATCCTGAGTTTACTGACTACCGTAAGCAACAATGCAAGCATGTTCGGGATGCGGTTTTCACCCTCGAAATGCAAAATGTTGCTTCAAGATTGGGTTTCATCGGCACCTGAACTAGTGATAGGGAGTGGAGTAGTCGAACATGTAGACCGATTCATTTATCTTGGGAGTCTCATCAGTGCTGATAGCCTGGTGACTGACGAAACCCCAGCTCAGAAACAGAAAGCTCGATTGGCTTTTGCCAACCTGCGTCACTTATGGCGTAGGCGTGATATCTGTTCGCTAACCAAAGGACCAGTGTACTGCGCAGCAGTTCTCTCCGTTCTCCTATATGGCTGTGAAACATGGCCGTTAAGAGTAGATGATGTTCGTAGGTTACTAGTATTCGATTATCGATGTTTCCCGAAGCATTGCCCAAGTATCATGGAACAACCGTATAAGCAGTGCTGTCGTTAGGAAACGAGTTCTAGGTAGGGATGTCAAATCAATAGATGAAGTAGTGAAGCTTCATCAGTTGAGGTGGTTGGGACATGTGCTGCGTATGGCTAACCACCGACTGCCCCGACGAGGTATGTTTTGTGGTGTAGGAGTAGGTTGGAAGAAAGCTAGGCGCGGTCAGACCAAACATGGCATAATTCAATGAAATCACTGACAAGTGGACTGAGTCATGTTGGTAGATGTAGGCTACCTTGGTTGAGGTGTCCGTGAGACGATAGTCACCAATGGTTAGAGAGCTTGAACGACATGGCTCAGAATCGTTTGCAATGGTGCAGGTGCATCCACTCTTTGTGTGCTTTTTAATTCAAACCTTCTGAACTCCTCATAATCTCTATCTTGCTCCTTCTAAATTTATCTTACTGAATCATACTTCTCGAATCATATCTTCGCTCCCTAATCTTCTCCATTACTGCTAATACTTCCACTATCGCTACCAATCTTGGATTTGAACTGACAGTCGCGTCGTCTCTGTGCTAATGGGGCATGGCAACCTGAACTGATGTACTTACGTACGAAGTTCTGCGTTGTATCTGTCTGTCATATCGTTACTATTCCTTAAATCCTACCCCATCACACTGAATAGTAGTTAAAACCCCCATTGAATAGAAGAACGAAACGACTTGATATGAAGTAGAACATGTATTCTACAAACATCCAGGAAGTTAAGCTGGATAAGTAAGAAACACCATTCCACTATGTAACATTTAATAGAAGAGATACTATATATATATATATATATATATATGGATGAATATTCATTGATGATCAATTTTCAATATATATATTTTCATTTTTGTATTTTTTTAAATTTCAATTATAGCCAACAATTCAAGAAATCAATCATTTTAAATCATTCAAAGTTCAATTATTAAATTATATCAATGAATTGATCACATTTACACAATTCACTAGAAATAATTTTACAAATTTCATTGATATTATTGAACAACTTAATAATTCATTAATCATATATGATCAATTGATTGTTAAATTAAATCCATTGATTGATTCATTTAAAAAATTTGAATCAAATAAAAATTTAACACAACGTCTTGATCAAATATTGAATGGTTTGAATCAGTTTAAAAATGTAAGTGAATTGAACATTTTAGACACTTATTAACAACTAAGAAGTTGTTGGAGATGTTAGATCCCTTCAGAACTCATTTGATAAATGTCTTGATTTTTAGATTTTATGCCATTGGTTGATATCAGTTGACCTTGAGATTACATTTCTCATCAGGAAACTAATTGGCTGTGATTGGTTACTACTGTGTTATTTTAGTGTGCCATTTTCGTGACTCTCACAAGGATGTCTCTGAACACTCTATAAACACTTATATCTTGTGAATGATGGTTTTCGTAATTCTCCAGCCCATACAGTAGAACTGACCTGACATTTATATTGAAAATTGTGACTTTAGTATTGGTTGATAGACAGTTGTTTTGAGTTCCAGATGTTCGTTCTTCAAGTATAGAAATGTTATCCTAGCCTTGCCAATCCATGCGTTCACATCTGTATCACATCCACCTTGTTCATCAATGAGGCTACCCTACATACTGCAACACTTCTCCATCAATTGCGATTTGTATGACGCATGTTGTTTCGTATCGGAGAATCTCGCTTTTTTCTTTGTGTATAGTGAGACCTGCTATTCCAGAGGCTGCTGCTACACTGGTCGTCTTTATTTGCATTTATTGGTATGTGTTTGTTGGGGATGTTAGATCCCTTCAGAACTCACTTGATAAATGTCTTTTTTGAGGATTTTATTCCATTGGCTGATATCAGTTGACCTTGAGATTACATTTTTCATCAAGAAACTGATTGGCTGTGATCGGTTACTTTCTACAGTCTACCTCGCCCTCTTATGGGTTTACCCAGTATTATGCAACTGCGGTGGCCTAGTTTCAATGTGTTCTTAAGCTTCGTAATTCCCTCGTCTAGGCAATCAGCACCAAATAACGCCTGACGGTTATAATTCAGAAGGCAAATACGAAGTGTTGAATTCGTTTATTTTTAGCACACCACAAAATAGGACAACAAGCATTCTAAGATGTAATCGTCATGCGAGCGCCGGAAGGCAAGCAAGAGAATGAATTGCATGAAGCGAAGGGGAGAAGGCTAGTGAGCCAACTCCGAGACATAAAGCAGGGCTAAAAATTTATAGTTGGACGAAAATAAGACAGACATGTAAGCGAGTAAGCATGCACATACATGAATACAAGCAACGAATGAGTGACAAGGTCAAAAGACAAGTGGGACAAGTCATGTGAGCTAGACATTGAATGACTCACTACACAACTACCAAGGCTAAAACTCAGGACCCTTCAGGTCGTATGGTGTCTGCTTACACTTCAGACAACTGAGCCAGTACTCTAACTGCTAATCGACTCGTGATATTTCACAACTGTGTTGGATGTGAGACATTTCTTCACTATTAACATTGAAAAATAGTTGACCCATGTCGCGAATCCACTGAAAGTAGACGTGTAAATAAGTGAATGTCAACTCAGTGGTCTAAATGTCTAAAAGTTTACCAGGAGACCTGTAGACCTTGGATCCAATCCATGTTGAAATTGTAGATGTAAACCATGCAGGAGTCCTATAACAGAAGGAAACAGCTCTGCCATACTTCGTGGTTTTTACCAGTTGTCGAAAATGTTGTTAACTATGATAAACATACATAGTTGACAGGTTATTGTATCTTGTTTTATTTTATAAATCATTAAAGGGATAAAATATTCTTGAAGACATAAAATCTTTATAAACACATCAGAAAAACTTAAATAAAGAAATCATTATGAGAAAACTCTTTCCATTAGTTTATTCAATGAAAAACCATATTTCAATAATACGTATTTTAGCATGATTGAAAATAGTTATGTTCAAAATGTTTAACTGAACAAGTATAATATCAATGCAAGAACCATCAAAAATGTTTAGTCAGCTTTTGGGAAAATTAGATCCCCAGAAATCACTTGGAAATCGGTCCTCATTTTGTAATTTATTTCTAAAATTTTGAATTTTTATGTTTTCGCACCAATAGACGCCTAGTTGACCTTCAGCTTACATTTCCCACTCGGAAATCCTTGATGGTTATTGGTTGATGGATTATTTTACTTATGCTATTATTGTGGCTCTTACCAAGGGCGTTTCTATCATTGTATAACTAAGCTTGATTTGTGTGCTTGTGAACCTCGTATTTTCTGGGTGCTCTTAGAGTACATTCTCTATATGCCTTATCAAGACTTCTTGATCTAGTTAGCCAGGCTGGGGACAAACAGATTTTCGTTCCGTTTACCGATTAAAGTGAACTCGTAATAGTTTCAAGCATATTATCAGCTTTTGTCAATTATTCATGTCACTTATCTTCTTGACAATCTTGACATACATTAGTAGCTAGAGCAGATGTAAGTCGAAAGACATCTGGAAGCTACCTGATTTAAGTGTTGCATCAATCTATTCGGTCATTTATGGTTAAAATGAATCATTTTTAGCAGCTACAAGTCATTTATTGTTGATATAGATAGCCAATGTGGAGTAGCCAGGCGAGGTCACTTTAAGACCGACAAAAACGCGTCCTAAAGGACAAATACATATCATTGGTCAAGAAGTGGATTCATTTTCTAAGGAGGAGAAATGTATATACACATAAATGAGTATTTATGTATACGATTTAGTAGCCAAATATCCTAAGAATACTATTTTTAGAAGTACAATCATATTGGTCGATTTCTATTGGTCAAAATTATGATCGTTTTAACTGTCAAGGTCAAATACTTCAATGTTGCCTCTTATTGGTCATCGGGACTGTCAATGTCATTCAAATGTTCTTTCCTATTGATCGTCCTAAACTGTCAGTGCCACAGAATTCGATGCTGTTTCTCATTCGAACTTAGTGTATAAATAAGCACTATCTGAAAGACTTAATAAATCCGTTTCTCCTGCCTACCTCTCTTCTGTACTCGACCCAATAAACAACTCCATCCCACGGTGTTGCGTTCTGATATATAGGAGGAGATTTGGGCATAGTATTTGGGTCGTATTGGGATATTTGGATTGGACGCCACTAGGACTGAATAGCTATACGTAGCAGCGTTACAACAGCCAAATAGACTCTCTCTCCATCTCATATATCTTCTCATTCAAGTAGTCAATCTGGGAGAGAAGGTTAGGTCGCACAAGTGTTCCTATCTTAAATACCACACATCATAACAATGATCTTCTACATTTGTAAATACTACTGTTACTTCAATGAATCCATTACTCATTGAGTTATACGTTCGTTATATGCTGCTCGTTAAACTCTTCAATGGTATCTTTAAAACTTTTACTATTTTTTTTTACTTTTTTTTCGTAGATTTCTTCTGATCCTAAAAAGTTAGAACAACCAATTCGTCCAATATTTGATTCATCTATTAAATCTTTATTAAATCAAACAAATCAATTATTGAATATTGAATTTGAACAATTATTTGCCAATATATTACCATGTGATAATTTAAACAAAATTCTACTAGCTGTGTTAAATTTATTTTGCAACAGAAAACAAAGTATCATATTATGTTTAGGAAGTTTTATATTGATTATTTGTATAACATATTTTTTGCTAATTGTTACACTGATTATATTTATTCTATATTCTAGGCAACATATTCAATTGTCAATGTTAACAAGATGGGAAAATATTCCTTTGTATGATTCAGTTAAATTATGTTATGCACTACTTGAATATCATCAATCAATAAAATAAAAATGTTTTTTAATTTATTAAGCAAAGTCACTAGTTTTATCATTCATTTTGAGATGAAGGTCATTGACTGAAAGTAGTTGTATGAAAATGGTGAAGTGTAAAGATTACTTATATGACAGTAAGAATTATTGATTTTTTTTCCTCTGTCAATCAGTAAACAATGAAATATGATCAATTAAGTGAGTATTTGGAAATCAATGTTTCGAATTTAAGTTTGGAATTACAGATAAACATAGAAATTATGGTTTTGAGATTAGAATCGTAAACCAAACCGACTAGTGAAAAGTAAGGAAGGTAAAGTAATCAGTAATATTGATGAATAGCGAAACAGGTGGGTAGAGCATTTTGAGAATCTTTTGAATCGACTAGCTCTGTTGAACCCAACCAACATCGAAGTAGCACTCATGGACTGTCGAACAACAATTGAATAGATCAGTATGGCCATCAGACAAATCAAGAGAGGCAAAGCAGCAGGATCAAATATCATCTCAGAAGAGGCAATGAAAGCGGATGTGGAAGCAACTGCGAAAATATTTCACATTCTCTTCAAGAAGATTTGGGATGAGGAACAAGTACCATCAGATTGGAAAGAAGGATACCTGATCAAAATACCAAAGAAACGCGATCTCAGCAAGTGTGAGAACTGCAGCGGCATCAGTCTTCTTTCAATACCAGGCAAAGACTTCAACAGGGTATTGTTAAACAGAATGAAGGACTTCTTAGCAGCCCAACTTTGAGATTAACAGGCCGGATTTCGTAAGGATCGATCGTGTATTGACCAAATTGCCACATTACGGATCATTGTGGAACAATCAATTGAATGGAACTCACCACTCTACATCAACTTCATCGACTACGAGAAAGCATTCGATAGCGTGGATAGGAAAACACTATGGAGGCTTCTTCGACACTACAGCGTGCCTGAGAAAATAGTCAACATCATACGGAATTCTCGCGATGAATTAAAATGCAAAATCGTACACGGAGGTCAGCTGACAGACTCTTTCGAGGTGAAGACCGGTGTCAGGCAAGGTTGCTTACTCTCACCCTTTCTCTTTCTCCTGGTGGTTGACTGAATTAGGAAAACCACACTATATCTTGAGAAGCACGGTATATAGTGGGCAACTAGATCCATTGACAAGACACCGTCAACAACAACCTGCAGTGGGAGAGAACAAAACAGATTCCAACTGAGGAAGAAATCAGGAGGAACTGCTGGAAGTGGATAGAACACACACTGCGGAAAGCACCCAACTGTGTCTCAAGACAAGCCCTCACTTAAAATCCTCAAGGTCAAAGGAATAGAGGTAGACCAAAAAACACACAACGCCGAGAAATGGAGACAAACATGAGAAGAATGAATGGCAGTTGGGTAGAACTGGAAAAGAAGTCTCAGGTTAGAATAGGTTAGAGAATGTTGGTCGGTGGTCTATGATCCTTTAGGAGAAACAAGTTTAAGTAAGTAAGTAAGTTCAGCTTTATCATGTTTTTGTATGAGATGATAATTCAGGTATATTTTTTATGCAACTATTTTGTAAAATCTTATTGTAAGGATATTCATCAAACATCTTAAAAAAATTATTTTGTAAGTCTAATTCTATTGGTCAATCTTTAAGGTCGTCAAGTTCACATACTTTTAAATGTTCTTTTCTATTGGTTAGTATTCACGGTCGACCTAACTGTATAAATATGCATTGTCTGTAAAGTCTTATGTGCTCTCCTCCTTCTTCTTTACAGAACCTCATATTTTCTGGGTGCTTGTAGAATACACCTTCTACGCCACATCTAGACTTTTTGATACTGTTAATGGGGCTTGGGGCGCTCGGATTAGAGTAGACTATCGGGTCACTGGATCACCTGTCTTCGCCCTCGTTTACCGACTAGGGTGAACTTGTAATATTTCAAGCATATCAAGTGACGAGCATAACACTCATTACATCCTATTGTGTACTATGGTTTTCTTTCTGTCACAGTTACATGTCAAACTATCGATTACATAGCTATCTAGACGTTGTAAAACAAAATCCATTACCAAGGTGAAATAACATTGTTCATTGCTCATATTTACATGTACCTAGACGGATATAAGCACGCGATCGTTTACCCGAAGTAAATGAATTATTTTATTTTACTAGAAATAACTGACACTTGATTCTTATTTGGAAAGTAATTGATCTGTTCAGCTTCCTTAAATATAAAAACTTATAAAATCATTGTAAAAAATAAAAAATCTTCCTAATTGACATTCTTGTTTCAACTGTATGCATCAAAATAGATTGTTGTCAATATGAAATGTTGAATATATTAAAGATTCCTATTGTGTAAATTACAACAATACACAGGTATAAACGAAAAATTACTGTTGTTTTCAATTTAGATGTTCATTAGGCTTTTTACTCTGCAATATACATGAATATTTATGTAAGATTCATTTTTTGAAGGCTTTGTTTGTGAAAATCCCTCAATGTATACATTTAGAATTTGTTCTTATTGAGATTCCTTCAGTTGTACATTTTGTGTAGTTTGTTCGAGTTCCATTTTGGAATGATAATATTTGTCATTTTATTATAGTTTCTATTTGTTTTGCCTTCACTGAGTTTCTAGGTTTCTTTCTGAACTATATTTATATTGTTTAAGCTGATACTTAGTCATGGTGACAGACATATTGATTTGTTCCTCTTTTGATTGGATTGCTTGCTTTGACTGGAATTGTGCATTTTGATTGTGAATTGAAGCACTCTTCCAGAATTGGAAACACTCTGTGTTATATAAAGCAACCAAACACTATCTGTTGAACGAATCTGATCTATCCAGGAGGGATAGAATATCATTTATTTGATTAATTGAACAATTGTTGGTGGAATAACTGAGTAGTATTATTTGTTTACGTAATGATGTACATTTATATTTATGATGAATATTAGAACCGTTATTTAACCAAATCACTCGTTTTTGGATTTAAACTGGGAAAGAGGCGTATCTAAACTACCTAGACAGTTATTCCCCAATTCAAACCTCAATTTAGATCCTATATTTATATGAAAATGTTAAACTAATCAAAGCAATTCATGAGTCAATAATCACAATGAAATGAAATAGCGATTACGTCACTACACATGATAGGCAAAAGTACAAGTTGATAGTAGGAAGACAGTAGTTGGAAAAATAAAATACGATAACAAAAGTTCTAGTCGATAGTTCAACATTGGAGCTCAAACGTGGATGGATAGACTTAAAATAACCATTACAAAACATTAAAACCATTACCTAATAAGAAGTGTGTACATAATTAGATAGTGAAGAAGAATACAAAACGGAAAGCGTCAGAAAAATACAAACAAATACAGGAAGTGAAAATAATGCTTATAATATAATAAAATAAAACTTAAAAGAAATTTTAACACCTTGGTTAAGTCATATTCGGCCACGAAAGAAATAGGAGTGTCACTCACGGTTTTCTTCTGAACGCATAAACTGGGGTTGAATGTACGAATTCCTATCGCTTCTACTATGTGAATAAACGAAAACCTCTGGACCATTGGGCCGGCATCCAACGGTATTAATGTCTAACTCTGATCAATCTAGGGATTTTGTGCCGCCTCACCCGTTAGTTTTCTTCTGTAGTTATTGCCTACACCAGACAGAGTTAAACTCCACTGATCACATATCTTGTCACTAGAACTTCGCGTAATTTCCTTACGAAACTATTCACTAGTGAGCACATTTTTACGATATTTTCAGTTAGAATTATGGAGATTACTATTTTTACTCATTTGTAATTATCAGTCAATCATTTTAGACCACCTCGAATCCTGCAAGGTGCAAGAGTCATGGATGCGCACTGATACTACTGATAAGTCCCATACCAGGACAAAACGACCGTCTAAATAATGCATTCAGGTTTCCCCGATGGTGGTCTAACAATGATTGACTGATTGATGATTTCAAATGTGCAACAAACAAAATGCAAAATAGAAAGAAAGCAGCTAGCCAGTTGTGGATCGATATGAATTAAGATCTGACTCATCGTTTCTGGTATTAACGTGATTCTGATTGGTGTTTTCTGTTTGTCACATGATATTGATTAACGGTTAAGGATGCAACAGATAGCCAATCATGAAACGCCTTGCTTTAAGATTAAACTGCTAGCCTTGTCGTATAAATCGACATGAGCTTACAGTGCTCCCAAGTTTCTAATGGTAGTCTATCAATGATTGATTGATGATTTCAAATGTGCAACAAACACACTAATCTCCATAACTCTAATTGAAATTATCGAAAACCTATACGCCTGATTATTATTGTGAATGTAGTCAGTTGAAATCATTTATTTACTAATAGATACAATAAAAAATGATATTGATCTCCAGATAAAAAATTATAAATAATTTCTAGTATCCAAATTTATCTGAAGCTCTTCATTTTCAATTCGAAATGATTTATGTTGAAATTTATTTCTCAAGAAAAATCAATCAAACAAACAAAAGATTTACGATGCGTTTTTGTTTATTGACAGTAATTTCATGTACAGAAAGATGAATTCACTTCCTCATTCTATGTACAACAATAAATAATTAATGATTAAAAATACAATTAATCATGAGTTTTTTCTTTTAATTCTGATTGTCATATTTATTGAAATAATAAAACAATCATTGTGAGACAGTCAATATGTTGTAACGCTTGCTTGAATAATTTTCAGCTAAGTCCTATTGCTTAGTATTCTCTGACCACAATACACTGGACAAGTTCCAAAGAATCAAAAACATGGTGGAACAGGAAAAGATAGTATTCCAAATAGCAAGGTTAAATGGAAATAAGAAGCCGAAGCCGAAGTCGAAGGCAAAATAGATACAACGTTAGATTCTTTATAGTATTTTCATGAGAAGCTTCTGGATTGTAAATCACGCGATCGACTGGATTGGATTTAGCCAATCAACATACAGCTAACAACACGAGAATTTTCTACTCTGTTCTCCAAGAATCGATCAGGCGCTGAT